CCCTGATGATTAGGGATGCTGAGCAATTCCTTAAATGTCTTTCAGCCATTTGAGCTTCCTCTGTTGAGAATTCTCTGTTTAGCTCTATAGCCCATTTCTTAATTGGACTGTTGGGCATTTTGATGTCTAATTTCTTGAGTTCTTTATATATTCTGGATATCAGTCCTCTGTCAGATGTGGGGTTGGTGAAGATCTTTTCCCATTCTGCAGGCTGTCACTTTGTCTTGTTGACTGGAGACACACGCCTTTAATCTCAATACCAACCATAAAAGACATGGAGATCTGTATAGAAAGGCAGTGATGAGGAGATCATGTGGTTGGGTTTACAACCAATGAGAAGGCAGAACAGAAAATCAATAAAAAGAAAGATACACAGGAAGTAGGTCTCTTTTTAGAGGAGAAGGATGACAGCAGCATCGAAGGGTAAAAAAGGTTTTTTAGTATCAGCTCTTAGCTACTACTCTGACCTCCTAGGCTTTTAACTCTGCATTTGGTTCTGTGTTTCTTATTTAATAAGACTGTTACATCTACACTGTTCTCCACTGGGAGTGATGTATATTTTGAGTGTAGAATATAGCTGATGAACTAAAGGCAAAAATCTGTAAACTTGTTACCTGCAAAGTTATAAAAATGAAAGCGTGATGCTCAGAAAGATACGCAGACTTTCAAGGAGATGGTCACTCCCAACTAAGGAAAATAAAGTATTTCAAATTCCTTTTCCAATAATCTCCTATACCAACTTTGACTTGAAACTCCCATCCCAGTTATTAGCACATGGTCATTGCCATTAAGGGAAAAAATTCGAATATGTATATGAACCTGACTGGCAGAAAGTGGAGCATACAGCCAAAGCAAAATCTCAGTCACTTATTTTTGTTACTATTCAAACCCCATCTTCAAGTACAAACATGATTGATCACATATTAAGAGTAAGAAGGTATTTATCATGTTCTCTAGGAGCTTATAATCCAGTGGGGAAAGTGGGTTGATAGAAAATGCAAGCCATGGTAGAAAACAGTAGGGTCAAAAAAAGATCCAAGCTATGAGAGAAACTAAAATTTCTTTTGTATCTACAGTTGAGCCAGAGCCTCCTCGGAACCTGACTTTAGAAGTGAGACAGCTAAAAGACAAAAAACCGTATCTATGGGTAAAATGGTCCCCACCCACCATAACTGATGTGAAAACTGGTTGGTTTACGATGGAATACGAAATTCGATTAAAGTCTGAAGAAGCAGATGAGTGGGAGGTGAGTCAAACAGATGTGTATTGGAGGAGCCATGTCCTTTTGGTAAGGATAAACATCTCACAACTGAGTAGATAATTTCCCCAATTACTTGTCCACTGTGTGGGCATCCCCTTGCAGACATAGCACTGCTAGATGAAGAAATGCCATCTCCCTTCTACTGAGATTGAAGGATGTTCATATTCACAAATCTCACAAAGACAGTTGCTTGTACCGGACAGGTTCTCCCTTAGGTTCCCAGTTTACCTTCCTAAGTATATCTCAGACAACATATTCTGGAAGAACATAAACTATACTGAGGCTGGAAGCAAGAGAATCAGTTTAATATGTTCGTGGTCAATGTTTTTAAAGAAATGCTTTGTAATACTTCAGTGTAAAATGATAGTGCCACTATTATAGGCATTATGGTATTTTACCCTCTGTCTCTTTTGGAAATGGGACATTTGCAAACATAGTCAAAATAATAGGATCACACATTTTAAAAGGTAATTAAAATATCCAAATAAAATATAGTGGTTAGTCTATATTTTAATCCTCCCTGGCTCAGTTTCTTCGAAAATACCTTTAACAGCTGGTTTGTCCAAACCAAAGTCTACTCCAAGACAGTTTTAATGTAGTAAGAAGAGGCTACTTGTTCATAAGGATGTCCCACATCCTTTATTAGTTCTTTGTGCAATCACTTAGCTAATATCTATGCCCCTGTACTGTCTGCAACCAGACTTTAGATTTGAGGACTTGATTAGATTCAGGTTGAATCACATGTAACTCAACATACTCTATAAGTAATTAGTATGAACTTCATACTATATTCATCATCAACAACAACAACAACATCATTATCATCATCATCATCAGGAGGCATGAGCCATCTGGTTGACCTAGTATAAATGATACTAAATTTGAGGTCTAGGTTGGGGAGGTAGAAACCTGATATCTCCTTTGCTAAATAACATTTTATTTGTGCACAATCACTTCAGCATACATGAAGACTTGGTTTTCTTCTACCTAGTACTTTTTACATCAACTAGTAATCCTTTAAATCAATCAATTTATTGGAATTTGTAAACTAATAATTTTATTGTCTCTTATGTGTATGTGCTAATTTGTTAACAAGAATCCTGTCTTTCACTAAGTAAAGTGGGAACGGGGTGGGAATTATCTTTCTGAAATAGAGTTCCAAATGAAGACATAGGAAACCTTTTAAACTTTTGTGAGACAATTTTTTAAGAAAAAAATTTTATTCATTTTACATACCAATCCAAGATCCCACTCTTCTCTCCTCCCATCCCTCCAGTCTCCCCATTGTGAGACATTTTTAAGAGGAAGAAAAGGATGGCATAGGGTAAGGAAACAGGGCATCCTCTAAGCACAGTCATGTCTACACAACTCCCTAATAACTTAAGATATAAAAGAAAAATATCGTTCCTCATAGCAAGAGTCAGAGGTGACTTCCGTTTTTCTTGTTGTTCCTTAGACCCATTTTACGGGGCAGCAAACACATTTTAAGGTTTTTGACTTATATCCAGGACAAAAATACTTTGTCCAGACTCGCTGCAAGCCAGACCATGGATACTGGAGTAGATGGGGCCAAGAGAATTCCATTGAAATACCCAGTGGTGAGTGTTTTGGCTGTGTTTTTCCCTATATTTATAAGTATTATTAGCAATAAAATTTCATGTAATAGCTATTAATATAGAAACTATTTTTAGCCTTATTTAGAAAAGTAGGCAGAGATATGATTATCAACTCTTAATCTAACAAAAAGACATTTGGAAAAGTTGTATTCTTGACTGAATTATAGTTGGTAAACACACCAGTTTCTAGAGTAAGGTTACAGGAATAAGTCTAGAATGTCCTCCAAGGACTCGTTGGTCATTCATTCTGACCTCCCTATTTGTCTTACGCCTACCTACTATTGATGGGTTGCTTTTCAAGTCAAGAAATATAAGTAGAAAGAAAAAATCTTGAGTCCAAGAGTTTCATGTGTTATATTTGGTAATTGGTTTTTAATGATGATATTGTGTATGATCAAAGCTCTCTGGTTGTTTTTTTTTTTTTTAGATTTCACCTTGAAAGATACAACCGTGTGGATCATTGTGGCCATTCTCTCTGCTGTCATCTGTTTGATTATGGTCTGGGCAGTAGCTTTGAAGGGCTATAGGTACTATACTGTCTCTCAGTTCTTCTTTCAGTCATTGTTATTGGGAATAATGACAAATGAACCAAACACTGATATAAAGATGATGGAAACCAACAGGCAGCCTAAGCATATTATTTATCCATTAGTGTCAGTACTTTTTCTCATACAAAAAAAAAGAAATCTTTTATCAGTGGTTTGCTTAAGTATTAAAATGTGCTTATTGAATCCAGTGCTCTTTCCATAAAATAGGGACTTAGAGCTATAAAATTGTGGAAATTTGGCTCAAGCAGCTAACATTGAAGAAACCAAATGGAACAAATAATCCAGTAGCTTGAAATTAGCATTCAAAAATTAGCCAGTGAAGGTATAGTGCATGTCTCTACAATTACCTCTCTCTTTTACTCCTACTTGAATACAGTCATAGAATTCAACCTCTTATAGCCCGTGCATCAGCTATTTGGGAATTGGGGTGGGGGTATCTCTTTCAAATTTATAAAGAAAATATGAGTCATTTATCCACTCTCACAAATTATTTTATAGCATGATGACCTGCATCTTTCCACCAGTTCCCGGGCCAAAAATAAAAGGATTTGATACTCATCTGCTGGAGGTAAGTGACAGAAGCAGAGAATGTGATGTGACTCACCACTTGGTGATAATTAAGTTTATACATGGACACTCAATCCTCATCAATCCATCCTGGCCCTCTTGGTCATCTCTTTCCAGTTGCCTCTCCTCATCAGCACGTAGGCTAACAGAAGAAAATGTTTGGGATGTGTGTGTTAATCATCACATGCTAAAAGTCAGAGAGCAAAGAGAGAAAGCCAAGAAACACTCAAACTCATGGTGAGGCTTGTTACATTGCCCATTTTGGGCTGCTCCCAAAAAATGGAGATGACCATTTTGTTCAAATAAAGAGTTTAGAAAGAGAGCAGATATTTTTAACTAGCTCATTACCACCATCTCCCTTATACATGAGTCCAAGCTTTGACTTGAGTGTTCTTTATATAAGCCACTGTGACAGAATTTTCCATTGTTCCCATGCTCCATTTGAGTAGTCAGTAGATCAGTACTCTATGGGCTGGTATTTTCCAAGCACACTAGATTGATTTGAGACAGAATTAAAACATTTCTCTCTGGGTTGAAATGTATAGTTTAACCTACCTTAACAATGGTGTATAAAAAAAGCCATCACCTGTATATAAAAGTAAATGCCAGTCAATGCAATTGCCACAAATTTAAGCTTATAAGAATGTAAGAAGTAAATTTGATTTGTCTTTCAAAATCATTTTGATTGTAACTATTACAGCAAGGACTGAGCTGAGGAGTTTGGGCTTCCGTGCCAGTGGTCTTACCCAGTATTCAGGCTAGTATTGACCTTTTTAAAACCAACAGGAATGTCTCAGCTAAGCAAATTACCTAGTATCTGTCTCATAGCTCAACCTACTAGCCACAGAGACCTAATGATAAATGGCTACTTTAGGGTTACACTTTTTTATATTCTTTTCTTAAATTATCTCTAATCTTCAAAAGAATCCTTGCAGATAAATGGTATTACTCCCATTATAAAATTGGAGAAGCTATCGTCCAGAAAGGAGAGCAACCTATGCCAAGTCATATCTACCTGATAAGGGATAAAAGCCAAGACTTAGCCATATGACCTAAGTCAGAGGACTTGGGAGAAGAGGGGAAGAGAAAAGAGACCAGAAGAGGAGAGAGAGGAATAGGAGTAGAGAGAGATAATGTGGAATAGGAGGAAGAGAGAGAAGGAGGAAGGAGATGAAAGACATAGAGAAAGAATAGAAAAAGAGGACAGAAGAGAAAGGAAAGGAGGAGTGGAAAATAGTAAGGGGAGGAATGTGAGAAGGAGGGGTGGTAGGAGAAGACAGAGACAAGGACACTCACTCCACTGTCACCACACCCCAGAAAGCGGTACAAGAGGACAGGCAGCCAGCCACTACATCTCGGAGCTACTCAGCAGCGACAACCAGTGTCAGGTGTCTACACAAACACGATGACTTCAAATGTTTCACAAGACATTTTCATTCCATAGTTACATGTTTATCATACATTGAGTAGTACAGGACTTGCCCATGAAGTTCAAAACCACTATTAGAGACAAAGAAAAATTATGAAAGACATAAAGAAAAGTATGTGGTGAATAATACTCAAAAGATGCTTATAGATGGCCTGATACACACATCTGCAGTCTGGGGGCAGGGCGGGGGGGGAGGAGCGGTGGTTGGATACTGTGAGAGTGCTCACAGAAGCCTTCTGCTGAGCAGGAGGAGGTGGAAAGCTTCCATTCCAAGACTAAGCAAGATACAGCATGGCTGCTGCCCCAGAAACAAGGCCCCTTTGCTCTTCTCAGATACCACTCAGCTGTGATGCCAAGAGTGGCATGTGCTGAAGCTAACAGCCATCTCTCCTTGTGTCTGTGTTTCAATAGAAGGGCAAGTCTGAAGAACTCCTGAGTGCCTTAGGATGCCAAGACTTCCCCCCCACTTCTGACTCTGAGGACTTGCTGGTGGAGTTTTTAGAAGTGAATGACAGTGAGGACGTGCAGCTAATGCCATCCCATTCCAAAGAGTACCCAGGTCAAGGTGTGAAACCCACACACCTAGATCCTGACAATGACTCGGGTCATGGAAGCTATGACAGCCATTCTCTTTTGTCTGAAAAGTATGAGGAGCCCCAGGCCTACCCCCCTGCTTTCCACATTCCTGAGATCATTGAGAAGCCAGAGAATCCTGAAGCAAATGCTCCTCCCACCCAGGACCCCCAAAGCAGCATCCCCTATTTTCATGCAGAAGTGTCCAAATCTTCAACATGGCCTTTACTGCCTGGCCAACACATGACCAGATCTCCTTATCACAGCATTGTGGATGTGTGCAAGCTAGCTGGAGGTCCTGTAGATACACTTGCCTCTTTCCTAGACAAAGCAGGAAAAAATCTTCTAAAATTTTCTAAAACCCTCAAGACTGGAGAGGAAAAAGAGGTGGCTGAGCAAGAGGAGATGAAAAGCTTCCATTCTGAGACTAAACAGAACACATCGTGGCCCCTGCTCCAGAAGAAAGCTCCCATTGTCTATGCTAAACCCCCAGATTATGTGGAGATTCACAAAGTCAACAAAGATGGAGCACTATCGTTGTTGCCCAAACAGAAAGAAAACAACCAGGCGGAGAAGCCCGGGGTTCCTGAAGCCAGTAAGGAGTATGCCAAGGTGTCTGGGGTTGTGGATGACAACCTCTTGGTGTTAGAGCCAGATTCACGAGCTCAGAACACAGTTTTGTTTGGGGAATCAGCCAAGAAGGCTCTACCATCACTTGAACAGAATCAACCTGAGAAAGATCTGGCCAGCTTTGCTGCAACCTCAAGCAACTGCAGACTCCAACTGGGCAGGCTGGATTATCTGGATCCTACATGCTTCATGCACTCCTTTCACTGATAGCTAGACTTATGGAACGATCGGCTAAAATGTGATTTTCTTTCTTCAGGTAACACTACAGAGTCATGGAATAATATGGTCTGCTAGCGAATGTTACAGGATGTGGGTAAAATAACACTACTTCACTCCTTTTCATGTCGTGTTCAGCACTTGCCTCTTTTCAACAGCTGATGTCCAGAACAAATCGATCTTGTTTCCTGTGATTTGTAGACTTTCTCTTTGCTATTACTCTATATATATATGTGTTCAATGAAATAAAAGCACATTGCTTACCATTCTTGAGGGATGGTGCCAACAGGTATAGCCACTGCAATAGATTTGGCATGTGATAGAAGATATGAAACACTCAAAAGGACTTAGCACAAGAAGATGACAGATATGCTGAAAATGCCATGAAAACTGCTTTTAAAACTGATTGCTAAGCCTTTACACTCCTCTTTCATTCTATTAGGATGGTCCAAGCATAGCACTTTTTTGAAGGAATACATTCCGGGACACCAGCCAAATTGTTTACAACAGTCCCTATACCTTACTGATCCTTTGCCTGTATGCAAATGAAATCACGCCCCAATTTTTTCTTAAAGTAGTTTGAGTATGTTAAGCATGGGCTATTCTGCCTAAGCTTTATTTCTTTCTAAGGCCCCTAGAGTGTATAGTTTGGCAGAATAAAATTTTCTTACAAAATAAGATCAATGAATTCCACATGGTGAACCATTTTCAAATGTGTTCCTTGCTTCATTTCAGCAAGACAGATGATTTGTTATAGACCCTAGTATTTTCTTATTGGGAAAAAAAATTCCCAAAGACTAATTTTAATCTAAACGGTAATCATTGCAGGATGCTAATAGAAGTGTTGCCTTACTGTATATACAATTCTGATTTAATATAAACCCGTAAGTTTAGCACTGTATTTTTGAAGACTATTTTTCTATTGCTTAGGTAAAGTAAAGACTATTTTCTAACTTCCCAGTACTGCTGTTTACGTCTTCAAACGGGGACAGTAATTTCTGCTGCAAGGTTATAATGAGTATTCAAAGTACATAGTATATGTAGTATATATGTGCATATATAGTATATGCAGAACCTGTAAGAGTGAAGTGCCAGGCCAACCCATTGCCCACTGAGGAATGTGAAGCAGACGAAAAATTCAATTAAGTAGAATAGAGTATAGTCTATCTGATTATTTTTTCTTCCAGATACTTTAAATATCTGGAATATAGCCAGCCATCATTGACTTGAGGTTTTAGGACTCTCTAGACCTAAAATATTTCTCCCATGAACTTAGGGCTCTGCTCACCTATGGGTGTATCTTATGAACCATCATGAAAGTGGAGAGTAGTGACTGCTAGCAGAGTTTCCAAGACAGAGAATTGTCTTTGTGTTATTTAATTTTTTTCTGAGCAATCCCGAACACAAAAGAATTTTAAGCAAAACTAAAAGTCAGTGTCTCTTTGGAATAAATGTATTTGCAAACTCTTGGCAGAAGCTGTGCTCACATTAAGAATATCCAGATAAAAGTTCTAGGAAAGCAAGCAACTGTCCAGTGATGAGAACAGCTTCAAAGATCAGGAGATGGGAGAATCTGTAAGACAGCTCCAAGGGTAGGCTTCCTGAGGAGGCTCAAAGCCTTGTATCCCCATATTAATAGGAGTATCCATGACTCATGTTCTGCACTCTGCTTCCCTCTGCTCTTCATATCACCTATAGGCAAATCAGTTGTCTGTCCATTCTGGATATAGAGACTCTGAACTCACCTCTTGTGAGTTAAATATGTCACCCAACAAGCACATGTTGGTAGATGCTGGATTCAGAGATTCCTTGAAGACCAAAAGTAGACATAGAGCCAACATTTTCAGAACTGCAAGTGCAAACACCTGAAGCATATTTCCCAGTACATAAACATCTTGTGAACAACAGAAGCATTTGGGAAAGTTGTCCAGGATCATTCAATGCCCTGGACCCTCCATACTAAATGCCTGAGGACCAACTGCATTGCATCACATGGGTGCTACTTGGAAATTCTGTTTGCAGCATCTCAAGCCTCATCGAAGACATACAGAATTGGAGTCTGCATTTTACTAAATGCCCAGATAACTCACATGTACACTCAAGCTAAAGAAGCATTGTTTTCTATGACCATTTCCACAAAAGGTTATTTTTTTCCCTCTCTTGGAAAGTATGGAGCAAGTCTATTACACTTGAAATAAGCAACACTGTATGTAAAGAAAAAGCAAAAACAAAACTATCAGTGATTTAAGATTCACATAATGATGAAGTTTATATGAAGTCACATGAGAGAATGACATGCAAAATACACACATCTTCCAAGAGAGCCAATGAATCTCGTTTACCTTGAAAACTACTGACAAAATAAATGTCAAAGCCAGTGTAAACTAAACCTTTCCCACATATTCTATTCTTCTCCAGGAGATAAATATATGCATTTATTTACAAATCATGACCACTATAGAACTGATAGTGCATATGGTACTCATAGTTTGAAACTTAAAAATCTGCATCTGATATATAGTTTCACAGATGTGAAAAATATGGCTGTCTAAAGGCAAGTTATATCCCACAAAAATCAGTTAACATTCATGAAATTAAAAAATAAAATAAAATAAAATAAAACCCATAGCTCAATTTGTTTATTAGAATTCTTATGGTCAAATATTTTCTGTTGAAAGACAGCTGTTTGAGTGAAAGAATGAATATTAGGAGTCAAGATATCTGGGTTCTAGTCCTGC